TGTTTAGCTGCTTCTGTTTCCTTGAACCCCAGTCAGCCTCAGCAGATGGCCACTCACACCAAGTCTGGTTCCGCTGGAGGTTTCTTCCTGTTAAAAGGGAGTTTTCCTCTCCACTGTCTCTACAAGCATGTTTAGTGTGAGGGATTTCTTTACAATGAGTCAATGCATCAGCTGGTTTTCCTTAGATAGAAAACACTGAACCAGTCTGACTCTATGATCTGGTTGTATTGTCTCAATAAAGTGCCTTGACATGTGTTGTGAATTGGCGCGATTTAAAGAAACTGAATTGAATTAGATTTTTTGGCCACATGTAGTTTTTATGTTGCAAGGGCAGAGTCAGCCAAGTGCAGAGATAAGATAAAGAGAGCAATAAGAAGGATGAGCACTCCACTGGGAAAGAGTATGAGCAGAGACATGCTAAGACACGCAAGCAGCTGTGAAATGTAAACACTGCACATCTGTCTGACCGCGCTAAATGAATTGCTAACTGTGCACTGAAGCCAGTGGCACAAAATGGCAGGTAGCAGCTATTCCTGGAATTTATTTCACTAAATATTTCTACATAACTGTACCATTCCAGTTTACTTAAAACACTGGGTTGTAAAGATTTTACAGAAAGCTCCTTAATCCATAATCTGACAGCAGAAAGGGTATAACATCACAGGAAACCTACCAAAATATGCCTGCTCAACTATGCTAAGATAAAGTCTAGGCGATATTCACAGAAACATCCAAGAAGCTCATGGTAACTGTGAAGCAGCTTAAAGATGAACAGCTGATACTCTGTTGGGAAACAAAAAAAACAGCTTCTAACCATGCACTTTGGAAAACTGTTATTGATGGAAGAGGGGCAAAGGGGAAGCAATAAAAAAACATCACTAGGCTGTTTGTTCCAATCCATGCAGAGGTGCTCTAATGAAATAGGACTCATTATCTTTTTGACCTACATTCAAGAAACTACAGAATGTGTGATGAAGAACTAAAGTTGCACATTGCCCTGATCACACTATCCCCACGGGACTGGCAGCATCATGCCGTGAGCATGCATTTATTTAGTATCCTCAAAGTATGATGCTGCTACAGGATGGCTAATGAAGCTAAGGCGGAAATTCAACTGAAGAAACTCTGATTACTTCCATTCAATCTGAGGCTGATCTGCCTCCGACGCAGCCAACCCGCTTCAAGCCACTTTCCTCGATGCCCAATCATCTTCCAGCACTCTACTTAAAGCCACTCCAAATCATCTCTAGGCCATCTCTTCAACAAGCGCAAGATCCATGGCTCCTATGTCGGACTTTGATTCAGACAACCCACCTCCATCCCCTTCTCCACCATTGTAGTAAGCTCATCCGACTCCTCCTCGATGCTCCTTCAACCTCACCTCCAGTGTGTACTCCCTCCAGACTTTCATGGAGTTCCCTGTCACTTTAAGCGGTCCGGCAGAAGACCGCCACGTTGAGCCTGGTTCTGCCAGAGATTTCTTCCCAAAGGGGAGTTTTTTCTCTCCACAGTCGCTCTATGCTTGCTCTTCATGGACAGTTCATGGACAGTTTATGCAAACTTTGTTCATTCAGTGACATCTAACTCAAGCATCACCCTGTATACCAGCCTCTATGGATTAACCAAACTTCATCTATCTAAACTCCACCACCAGTTTCAGGCCCTGGGGGAATATCCTTATTCTCATACATCAGTTTATCTGCATTAAAGTATAAATCAGCGTTTATGTTTCCTGCCGAGGCCTGAGCGCCAAAGTTCAAACTATTGTATCAATAAACTCTTCTAATTGCATTTTTCTCTCTCTGTGAGTTTTTTAGATTGAATTTAGCTTTGATAGAAAGATTAATGGAGCTGAAGACAGGGAAATTCTGGAAGAAAATCTGTTAATTTGATGTAATTTATTCATATAATGTTGCACCAATTCTAGCTGATATAGCGTACGTAGGACAAACACGAGTAAAAACTGATACCAAATAAAATCCAAGCATTTGAATGAACCAGTCTATGTTGACATTAATAAATTGTTGGTTCACATAAAATCTCAATTAAATATTGAAGTTTGTAACTGTTTGTGATAATAAGTGAGAAGTTTAAGCTGTTATGAACTCACTTGAAAGCATTTTCCGATACAGAAACTTTTGATTTTAGTCTTGAAATGTGTTCTATGTTCCACATAGAGTCAAACATGTATGACATGTGCTGCTTGTGTTACTTTATCTTATGTTTCACTTAATTTTAGACACATTTATGAACAAAAATGAACAAAAAAAACATGGTCTGCTTTTGTTTTTTAAGGAAAGACATTGTTTATAAGAAATATTCACCAGTTTCTGAAGAAAATCTATCCCCCAAAAAAATACTGAAATTGTGTCTGTCCAATCAGGGCATGGCTATATTATTCCAGAGTCCATTTCGCTGCTGTGTTTTTGCAAGTAAAACGTATTGACTTGAGGGTTTTAGTCTCTGCTCCTTCCTGGAAAATCACAATGAAAAACATTGCATAGAAGATTCATCAGGTTTTCTTATTCATTCCACGTTCGCCTAACACCCTGGTTTCCTCTTACACATTTAAAAAACACCCAGTAAAGACTTACCTGAATGTTTCCTTCACAACAAACATTGTTTGAAAGACATGAATCTAACTCCAGAAAATCTAAACAATATAAAAATGCAATGGGATAGATACTAGGACTGATGACAAAACTTATTTAATTAGGTTTGATTTGTTTGAAATGTAAATCTTTTTGGTTTGCAGTTTTGTAGGATTATTATGGACAATTAGTAACCTATATCAATGTAGACATGAGTTGTCCAGTGATTTAAAAGTTGCATAAAATAAGAAATTTGTCAAAGCAGAATCAAAACTGCTTTTTAGCTTGTTGTTGCATTGCCAGCCATTTTTATACAATATTCATTGAGTATAAGCGGTTAGTTCCCACCACAGTTCAAAATTTTGACCTACACCGCCCCCAAGTGAAATAAAATGGATATAACACCACACAATATATCAATTTATTTTTTTTTCTTTTATTGTCTTCTCTTTTCTTTTCTTTTATTTGCCGTAATTTGACATAACCTTAATTTAAAAGGATCGTTGTGAAGGAGAGATAGTTGAGAATCAAATGATGGACAAATGTTGTTATTACATTACATAAACTTTATTTAAATCACTACAATCTTTCATATTCCCTTGTGGATCAACATGAATCTAAAACGTCAGGTAAACTATAAACACCATTCTACTCTGAGTGTCTTTATTGCAGTTAAAGTGTAAATTATAAAATAATTTTGGGCTTTACGTTTAATTACTCAAGTTTAAACCAGCTACTCAGCTGTTAGTCACATCCTTACCATAATAAACTTTAGGGTTATGGTCAGTGTATGCTTTATTCAAGTTATTTTTTTTTAATGAAGATATATAATACTTTCTAAAAATTTTACTGAACTGAGAGAATTATAAAAGAGGTGGTAATTTTTGCCCCATAATATTTAATTTACAGCTAACTCCCACTAGGTGGCAGGCTTAAAGAAATGTAATAGTCCTATATTCAAAAGGGTATGAGGATTCTTTGATAAGTTTCATTATAACTGACTGTCTAAATTTTTAACCATTGTATTAGATATCAATAAAAGAGTGAATTATTAATCAGATAATATTTTTCAGTACAAATTGCTTGTTAATGTTCAGCTTTTCCTCAATGAAAAAGAGGATCTCCAGTTTTTAAAAAAATAACAACCATCATACCCAGTTAGATCTCAGTAAGGAGATATTATTTAAAAGCTGGGTGAATTTCATTAATCAGACAGAAAGGTGTGGAGGGTGGACTATGTGGCTGACCTGTGAGTGGTGGTCTCTTTAAGGGTGCATATTTTATAAACTCTGTCTTTTTCCAGTGAACAGAATTTTCATATCATATTTTAACTGTACATCGTCAATAAAGCAAAACAAAAACAACAAACAAACAAGTAAACAAGTTTATAGCTTCGAGTACAGTGAGAATTTGTTTAGTTTTACTTGTTTAGTTCCATCATAAACTATTTTGTAACAACCGATATTAAATGACTACTATTTAATGCATTAATAACAATAATTTGGAAACATTAATAAGTTAAAGAAAAGTATAATTAAATTAATATGATAAAAATACAAAATACATTGGTAGAAATGGCCATTTTGCTACCAAAGGTCAGTTATACAAATCTAGCAAAATAAATGAATAAATCAAAGGACTATCTGCTTTTTCAATTGTTTATTAATGTAAATCTTTAGAAAGCAAATGAATGATGCAACAAACAAATGAATACATTACTCTTATTTAAGCTATGTATATTCCACTTTTATCCTGTAACATCAGAAGCTCTAAAAAAAAAAAAAAAATACAAATAACACAAGAAATGGCAAAAAGAAAAAAGAAAAAAAGCATTTATGTTGTAATTGTAAATCAAGTTTGTTTGGGGAAAAATAAAAATACCAACAATTAGTAAATAGTAAACATATAACATAAATATAGCATAAATAACATAAATAAAAAATGCAGAGAAAATCATTCTTTTTTTCTTTTTTATTATTATTATTTTTTTCTGGAAGAGTGAAGATTGGCTTTGCACAATCACAATAGGATTTTTGAGGATTATGTAAAAAAAAGAAAAAAATTACTCTTAAGAAAAATGTACATCTGAAATACAACCGTCACCTTGATATCTCAATGGGATAACCCCTGGTTCTCCAGAGGATTCTTAATTTGGATGGAGTAAACTCTTATCCTCATCGAGGTACTTTACACCATTCAAGAATAAGTCTGTTACAAATCCCGGATCACCCTTATCCCCCCGGTTATCCTGAATGGGTGGTGTGTAATGCCCCCCCTGTGACAGCGTCATTGATAAAAATGCCAACTCGAAAGACGGCACGCACTGTACAGAAAACTCAACGCACCCAACGTGTATCGAACCTACGTAATGACGTAACCTCTTTGTGTTGACAAATCATGATCCACATGGGCGGGTATAGTGAAGCCGTAGTTGAGAGTTAGCACGCTAACTAATCGTGAGAGTGGAAGTGGGGCTAACGTAAAAGGGAAACATAACTGTCAAAAGAGCAAGGAGAGTAAAGGGTTTCACTCGGCTCAGAGCACTGCTAGATGGCTACATGAACTGATTCAGGGTTAGCCATTAACGACTGAGTTTATCAGATACCCGGGGAGCATTTTTGGATACTACACCGATTGTCCCGTTTCCAAACGGAAACGTTTTCTGGACACAGACAGTTGTGCTAGGTAGCCTAGCTGAGTGATTAACCCAGGAGACTCTTCATTGTCACCTCAAACTCCTTCCTGAATGTTTTGTCTGTCATGAGTCCGGCCGGGTGCTCCCATGTGAACGGTTATAAGGTGGATAATTGGAAACAAAACCTCCGAGTCATATATCAATGCTTTGTCTGGAGTGGCACTGCTGAGACCAGGAGACGCAAGGTAAAAACATAAAACACACAAGAACTGCACCGTTTGACACGAAAATAAAAGGGGGTATATATATATATATTTATTTTTTGGCACGTAGAAACCGTGGTGTCCCTCGTGAAGCACATACACAGCTGAACGAAATTACGGTCCAACGGCTCAAGTAGCTAGCTCTGCGGTTAGCCGCCGGTGAGTTAGCTGCTGTGGGTCTGAACTGCAAGGACCGGTTGATTGTTTGCCACATTGGAACTTAAAAAACTGCAGCCTGTCTTTGGGCGCTACACTTGAGATTTGGCTGAACGGTGTTGTTTAGTGGTTAATTAAACGTAAAAGGGAACAATTGTGGCGACAAGCTGCCATTACCTCACCAAATATGAACCCATTGTGCCCCCCCCTCCTTCCTCTTCCTCAAACACGAGTGGTGTGGAGTTCTCCCTCAGGTCTGCGTGGACCACAGCTTCCCTGCAGCCATCGAAAACGCGATTACACTTCATCACCATTTCTCTTTTCTTTATATTTTTTATTTGAAATTCCATAATTGCTTTAATTCTAGTGATTTATTGTGCATTGCATTGCAACAGAAGTGGGCTTCTCTTATAAGTTGTACGTTTTTATGTCGTTGTAATAAATCAGGTGCTTCAGAGTGATGCAGGATGGACAGATCTGGTGAGTTGATGCTGCTCCCCCCCCCTCATCTTCACTGACATAATGCAGGTAGAGCAGATGCATAAGCCATGGATTGCCTTCCTTCCCCAGTGCCTCTTTACTGAAAGTAAAACAAAAAAGGTGAAAAGCAATATAAGCAGGAGAAATGCGTCAGATATTTGCACCAGATGGCTCAACAGTTTAAAAAAATCTGAATAAAATGTGAGATAAGACCAATTCAAAGTAGCCATTCTTAAAAATTACATAAAAAGTGCATTTATTTTGTAAATTTGCATTTTATTCATTAAGAGATGTCTTAGAAAACTAAAATCTTTGTGAAATTATTCCTTTATAAGTCTAAACAGTTCAGGTGGGTGATAGCTGTCCTTTTCTTGACCCAACTAGACATCCACAAGCTTTGGTCAGAGAATGGTCAGCCCCTAATGATCCTCTCAGCAGACCTAAGTGGTTGTTGCAGTGCAAACCTGTTGTTTTGTGGATAAGCTAAACGATACAGTGATGGATGAGCACTGGTGCTGGCTGAAGAATTGCACTTTAGAAGATGACCAGCAGCTTTTTAAGGTCTTTGTTTTTTGATGAACTATTCATGTCATGAAAAAGAGTAGGTCAAAGGCATTGGAGGTAAACAACATGGATAATGTTGCTGATGAAGCTCACAACAGCTCCAGATGGTTTTTACCACACTAGTGGACCAGCCGATCCAACTCACGTCTGCATGCGGACCTGTAATTGTCGGTAATGGGGCCAATAACAGTGGTGTCATCTTCAAACTTCAGGAGTGTAATCCCATCTGTCTGCATCGTTGTAAGGAAACAGCAGGGCCTTGTGATGCTTTAGCACTAGTCCCTAACGGATTGTATGATGACGTAGCTCAAAGTGATGGATATAACCAGTGATGGTGGACTTTTTTTGCACTTGGATGATAGTGGAATGTTGTCGATTATGTTTTTTAAACCCTTTCATGCTGCTTCTGGATCAGTAGCTGTTTAGCAGCTGTTTAGATTCTGACCCTAGATTCTCTTAGAAAAAGGCTTAATTTCAAGATATTTTAAAGACTAAAAGATAAAGAAAATCAGCTTACATTAAAAAAAAAATACAGTATGCATTTTGTCTATTATAATTAAATTAAAATCTTCCACTGTAGGGTTTTAGTGATAATAAGTAGGCTAAATTAAGATATGGTCATCTATAAGGCCCGTATATATTTGGTTAACAGATACTTGAAAATATAAACAGACTATCTGGTTTATTTAAAATGTCATATAATTTAAAAGACAAACATTTCAGTAATACGCTCTGGGTATGTTGCTTAGAGGAATCAGAAGAGAAGTTCCATGTATTTTTCTTTAAATATTTTTTGCTATACAGTAACTTAAAATGGCTCATAAATGAAATGCTCTTATTAAAGGTACTCTACTATCCACACCCCAATCAAGCCTTTGGAGCTAAACATTGTGCTATAATTTCTATCATTCAAATCAGAAAAGCAAAACTTTTATTTGCTAGTGCTAAAATTTTTATTTATAAAATGTTTAAGTATATATATCATTACAATTTAAGGATTTTTTTTTTCCTTAAGGCTTTTAATGAATGAAAGGAACTCTATACCCGCCTACAAATTACAACCGACCAGAGAACCTTCCTTAGGAAAATAAAACATTTATTTATTTCTGGTTGTGGTTATGCGTGTGATTATTAATTCATCTCAGGATGTGTTTTTGAAGCAACGTCTTAAAGGAGGAGGTTGAAGTCTGGTCTCATTGAATTCCATTTTGGGGATAAAATCAGAGGTCTTTTACCTCATGCTTTTGCAGAGCCTCCTAGCTGGTGTGACATGCAGAGCAGCAGTCGTGCTCCACACAGGGATTAATTTACTACATCCATGAGTTCCCAGCTTCAGTATATTCCTATAAATGCATACACTAAATCTGGATCTCCATTTTGATCCAAAAGTGAGAGCAGTAGATTGAAGTAGCAGGAAGTGTTATGATTTTGTATGATTACTGTCTGTTTTCAAAAAGACGAGCATAAAGCTGCATTGCTCACTGCTTATTCATCCTCCAACAATGCACAAATGAAAAGCGGCTCAAATCTAGAGCTGCATTCTCAATAGTTTCATGGTAAGAATATTTCAGGAGCTTTTCTCTTTATTTTACTCTGCTTTTACACATTTTCAGAAATAATTTGGTTTTTCACCAAAAATTAATTTAAAGCTTCTCTTATACTCTACCCACAGTTGAAATCAATTCCAATGCAACGTTTAAGAGCTGATCTGTCACCTGCTCTGAGTGCGGTCAGAACTCTGCTTTGGTAACGTGTTCACTGGAAACCTAAAGGTTAAATTTTCTTGGTCTCTGAGTAAACCTAAAACTTTCATTCTACAGATTTGTGGATATGTTCATCATTGAAAAGAAATCACTGTGTGGCCTGAAACCATTATTGCCTTTGGCTTTAAATAGAAATGGGTGTGTGTTGCATTAGGTCTGAGTTGGTTCAAAGCTGATTGTAATGCTTACGTAATATTTGGTTGTGCTTCATTACGTTTCATTCTGCTCATTTGAGTTAAACGACTCAGCCTACCAGATAGTCAAAAGTCTCAGCTTAGTCACACCTGATTGATACAAAGACTACAGCCGTTATTTACCAATGCAAGACAAGAAGAATAAAAATCTGCTAATATCCTTTTTTTGTTCCCATCAGTCCTACTTGTTTTCCTTACTATTCTTTTGTCAAACTAGTATTAGAGTACCGGCATTTAATATGAGATTTCAAAGCAACCTTTTACCATAACAGTCTTTTTTTCCCCATTTAGATAAAATTATCTTGATAAGATAATTAACAGTGAATTTAGTAATTGGTTGCTGTTTAGTCGGTGAACTAGGTGGGTGATTAGGGGAATGTTTAAAGAGCCTTTTATTGGTGATTTGATTGAATAGACCAGTTATATTTTGTGAAAGATTTTGAAGTTAAATTAATATGATTGATGGCAACTGAAGACCTGAGAAGTTTTGAACCATCTCTTTTTTTGCAATTGCAGCAACAAATCTTTAGGTGTAAGACTTTACCACTTTATTCCAGTGAATTTATTTTGGAATTCCTGAATAAACCAGGCATCTTTCTATAGATTTAGTTTGATTCAGGCTTGGACTTTTTTTGGCCCACTTTCAGACTATTCCACCATAACCCTCTTTGTATTTTCGTCACCGTTGTCTTGCAGAAGACATCCCTCCAGTCTCTAACAAGTTTATTTTGAGGACAGCTCAGTGTTTACCCCAAGCATCTTGCCATTATCTCTGACAAGCTTTATTATTGTTGTGGGTAGCACCATAATACTGCTACCACCGAGGTTCATGGTCCAGTTGTATTTTATGAGGGGATGTTTAGGTCAAATTTGTGGTTAATGGTTTTCCTTCCAACAGATTACTCCCAGCTGAGCACTGCATCTCCTTCAGAGTTACAAATAGCCTCTGCTGTGTCTCACCAATAACCATTGCTTGCCTGTATCCTTAGGTATCCATCCATGTTGGCCTTCAAACCACTATATTTGTTCTAAGATAGTAACAAACACAGAGTTTTTTCTCTAAAGAGAAGTTGTAGATGTATGCACAGTGCACAAAAATGTACAATTTGAATTCTACTTTACATTTATATTAGTAAGTGTTGGTAAAATACTATTTTAGTATCGGATTTGCGTTGACAAGATGTGAAACTCCATGGATGTTTTTGTAAGGCACTATATGGAATCTATATTTCTAAATATTGGTCCTACTACTTTCAGAAGGATTAAGTGCATTATCTGGGTTTGCCAGAGATATTTCACATCAAAGATGCACTTTCATCAGAGCTATTGCGTTAGGTTGTGTACGTATTAAATTAGATGAAAGTGTGATGGCTTAAACTGACAGTATTTAATGTTGGATCTGCTTTGGAGAATTGGCTGTTACTTTGATTAAATATGGAGGAATGTGATCATAAACCTCTCAGCGCTAAGAGGTAAAAACAAAACCATCCACATCATCTCCAACCCTCAAGTGCTAACCAAGATGCACTATGCAAAAGGGGTTGCTAGGGATAGAAACCGTATATATTTTTTAAAGCATTAAACATTTATGTTTCTCCTCTAGTCTTTTTTCTTTTCACTTTGACGCACATATTCTTAAGCACAAATGCGCTGAGGCATGATTAAATCCACAGAGTGGTTGGTTTTGGTGTTGTGAGCAGATCTTTGTCAGATCCATCTCCATCACATTATGGGCCTCCTGCTCTGTGACTCATCAGCATACATTTGGAGCAGCTAGAGTTATTCCTACAGACTGCTCATGCTGCTTGCTTGTTCCTCTTTTGCCTTTGCTCCCACGTTACTGTTTCCCTCTTTTTTTTTTTTTTCCCCTGCTTTCATTTTTCTCTCCTTTCGATGTCAGCCTTGTTAAAGCCATGATTCATGTTGCTTCCTGAATGTGTTGTTGCAGATTTATGTGCTGAGAAAAGCAAATGTTCATATGGCTCATATTTTATAAAATAATATATCCAATGATTGCACATAACCAAAAAGCTATACTGAACCCTGATATATCTTTTCTTTGTTATCCTTCCTTTTTAGTCTCTCATGCCTGTGCCTTATAGATGATGCTCAGTAGTTGTGGTTATGTCAGATGTTGGATTTGGCCCCTATCCAAATCTGATTCCTGCATGTCTGTATGCTTTCTGTCACTCCTGTTTTGTCTGATGTGGCTTTTGGTTTGTCAGTCATGATGACTTTGGTAAAATGACTCAGTCCAAACAAATGTAAAGCCCTCTATGGGTAATCTGCTTTCAGATGCGTCACCGTCCTGTTTGCCTTTCAGTTCTTTAGCCGCAGATACTCCATCATAATATACTTCTATGTCCAGCAGCTTCTTGCAGTTTTAAAGCACTTCTTTTTCTGTTACTGTTGCTCTTTTTTTCTCATATTATATGTTTAAGTCCTTAGAAATGATCGGAATCGACGTCTGGAAATCAGG